GGAGACCTTTGAATTCTCGTGAACTTGGAGAGGCCTGTCTGCTGGGCTGAGATGAAGCTCTCTTGCGTCTCATTACATGGGAGGAAGCTCTCAGTGATTTCTTGTGGAGGATGAGGTAGAAAATCATTCTTTTTGGAAGCTAGGGGAGCTCTGTCCTTTCTTGCTAGGAGCGAGGTCTCTTCAATCTTCTTAAAACGAAAAGGCGACATACCAAGTGGTAAGAAGGATGCTCTCTTCTGTTGCCACAAATCACCTGGGGACTCCCCTCTTGTTTTGGAGCATGAGGTCTTTTCATTTTAAATGCTGAGGGATGACCAGATGTCTCTACTTGAAAATTGGGGGAGCTCCACCCTTTCTTCTTGAGCGTCCTCCCCTTTTCAAGAAAGAAAGGAGGCCTGGGCTGGGCCGGGCTGGGTTGCGGCTTGGGCTGGGACTGGGCTGGGCGCGCTGGCTTACTCCAGCTCGCCGGTACCAGTCAGCCTGCCTTCCTGGGAGAGTCTGTGATTACTCCAGAACCCGAGTGTGCCTGCCTTCCTGGGAGAGTCTATGACTACTCCAAAACCCGAGTGTCAGCTTCCAAATAAACCCTATTTAAGCCGGCCACCCCCCCCCCCCCCCAAAGACCAAGGTTTCTATATGAGCTTTAGATACAAGCCTACTTACACTAGCCGATAGTCGTCGGTCTTTGGGGGGGCAGGGTGCCAATAACAACCCTGTAAAGGTGTAGGGACAAACATGCATGACACAACCCCCTTGTGGTTTTCATACAAGCCTGCATACAATAATCCTTAAACCATTTGCTGTCGCACATTCCAGGAAGCCTATTGAATTCAATAGTCCCTATTGAATTCAATAGGCCTTCTGGATTGAAGATTGAAGATGCTCTCGAAAAGTTTCCTGGGAGATCTTCAATCTTCAATCCGGGAGGCCTATTGAGTTCAATATGCCCTATTGAACTCAATAGGGTTTATCCTGAAATCGATCATGAGGGCCGTGCGTGGAAGTGTGAAAATTGGGTTCAGGGGTCAAAGTCTACCGCTGCGTTTGCCAGCGTACTTTTGGAGTACACGCATATGGGTTTTAAGGGCTATGAAGAGAAAGTCATCAACTAGACGTATGATACTACCTTTAAGCTTCCCCAAACGCATTCTTTTGAATTACGCCCAGCCTAAATTCAGACAACACTACTAGTTTTATGCAACAAATGCAGTTGGAATACTAAGAATATAATCGAGGGCTCAATCTATCGAACTGTATACTACTGAGGTATCAAAAGCACATACTTTAACGTCCATGTAGCTAGCAATCTATGCATGAATGTATATGTTCGATTCAATTATTGGAAAGACTACTAAATGCACCGTATTATTATAAGACGTAGAACTGATTTGACATAAGTAAATAAACACTCCGCCTAAATAGGTCCGAGGATCTGGCGTATCCAGCTGTTTGCGTACTTGTGAACATATTACTCTACAGCTATATAGTAAGCTACATCTTCATATAAGTATAACTTTGTCCCTACAGGCACTGCTGTGAATGTATTACTTTCTGAGTTCTAATCGGCAGACAACAAACCCTCTATGCTATTCTTATATTTAAATCTGACGATTGTTAGCTCAGCAAGCCCTATGCTTGAATTGATCCGAGGATTCAATTCAATCTACCCAATCATCTAATTACCAACAGAAAGAAAAGTAATGTTTCTGCAGTCAGTAATCCGTATAAGTATGTCATTATCCCTGGGTGGAGTGATATCATATGAAGCATTATAAATATAGTTTTCTGTCTGTTCGTGTTAACTGGCAAAGCACTTCATGAATAGCTTAGTTGTAGAGAGATTTCTTCAGGCTGTTTGGCTCCCATTCAAAAGTATAGCTTCCAAGGTTCTACTATACTGCTTCTATTAAGCAGCTATCTGGGTAAATCGCAACAAGGAATCTCAATCCATATTATTAGCAATTAGCAAATAACAGACCCTGTAAATTCGATTGTATAACCAATTGCTGACTACTTAACCTTATTTTTCCTTAACCTTAGTTTTCCAAGAATGAAATGGTGCATGCTAAATGGCAACACCGAAGTCTTATACTTAATAGGCATGTTTAAACTATAAGACTATATGCTCTCAAACATATAGTCTAAGAATACATGTCTTTGTACGGCCACATCTGTAGTAATTAACAAACCCCGGAAGTTCAATTCGATATTCAGTTGGCAAATAGTTAACCTTTGCTTTTCGCATACAATAAATGGTACACACTAAACGATGGCATCGAGGTACTATGCTTGGTAGGTGTTTTTAAACGTTACAAGTAGCTTGATTTCTTAAAACCAATAGTTTAAGAATAAATGTGTTTGCAGTGTTGACCACATACTACAACTGAAGCTAATAAAGCACACGGCATGGGACGAGTTTTCCATACGAAGTAAGCCGTCAACAGAATATGGCACTTGAATGGAAACGTTTTGGTCGTCATCGTGCTTAGAATGGCTCTAGGCGAGAAAACCAAAAAACAATACCAACAAAAAAGCGAAAAAACAATACCACCAAAAACAAAAAACACTACCAACAAAAACATTGTTTCAGTACTCTTCCAGAATAGCATTAGAATTCTATATTTATGGGAGCACCCACCAATGTTCTTATCTGAAAACCTTGGTCTTTGGGGGGGAGGGGGTAGCATATATATATATATATACATATATATATATATATATGTATGTGTGTGTATGCTTACATTTAGATCCGCATTGCTAAACGGATTTTGTACCTGTATGTGTGTATGTATACATGCATGCATGGACGTGTGGATGTACGGTTGGTATACGCATCTGTACACATTCACATACACATACATGTAGGCATCGACATGGGCACACACACACACGCACACATGTACAAACGTATGCATCCAGTCTCAGGTGCAGATGCAGATATGGATGCAGATGTGGATGCAGATATCTACATACATACATGTGTACATACACTCATGCATATTAGCATATATATGTATATATATATATATAACAGACATACGCATCTATGTATTCAATTACATTGACACTAATTCGGAGATATGCATATATATATATATATGTATATATCCACACATGTATACACACATACATATGCATCTACATCCAGTTACACATGTGCATATGCATGTACTTTTGCATATACACATACACATACATAAACGTATTCATATACATAGATAGATAGATAGATAGATAGATAGATAAATAGACAGATAGATAGATAGAGAGAGAGAGAGAGAGAGAGATATATATATATATATATATAGAGAGAGAGAGAGAGAGAGAGAGAGAGAGAGCTGTGGGTATATATGATCCCGGTTCTCGGTTCACCGACCCCCCCCCCCCCCCCCCCAATGGTATCCCCCCCCCCCCACGCTCCCCAAGCCGAATCTGTGTGTCCAGACGAGGGCTCACACGCCAAGCAGACCCACGCAGGAAACCCAAACCGCACCACGCCACAGGGGGGCACAGGGAGGGGGAAGCAACCCACAACCACACCACACCACAGCAGACGCAGGAAACCCAAACCACACCACACCACAGGGGGGAGTGGGGTAACCAGCCTAAGCAGACCCACTCCCGAACCACACCACACCACACCACAGGGAGGGTGAAGCAACCCACAACCACACCACACCACAGGAGGGGGAGGAGGAACCATTGGGGGGGGGAGGGGGGGGGGCCGGCCGAACCGGGATCATATATGTACCGAAGTACAATAATTGGAGGAGGTTTTAACGACGATGACAAGAGCAACAACTGCATCGCGAGGGCGGCTTCGGGAAGCGGAAGCAGCCGGCGCCACCGGCGGAAGAGGTGGGATCCCACTTGATTAGGAATACTCCTTCAATCCGGTAGAGCCTGCTTAACCCTACAGTCTAAACCCTCAACCCTGAAGTCTAAACCCTCAACCCTGAAGTCTAAACCCTAAACCCTAAAGTTTAAACCCTAAACCCAAAAGTGTTGCCATGATTCTCAGAAAATCCTCCCACGGGCTCCTTTGCGCGGTGTCGAGCTCGGAGCTTTGACCGAGCCGTCCAGCATGACGAGTATCAGTAGAGGTATATATCGGTCTATCTGCCTGTCATTTGTGCATGAACATACAAACAAGTGTAAACACATACAGTTGTACTTTCGTGATCCATTTATCCATCTATCCATCTGTCTATCCAGCTATGCGCATGCACATTATACACATCCACGAATGCAGGTTTGCACCATCGTTGCGACCCCACTTGTCAGAAGTCCCCAATGTGCCCAAGTTCCCTTGGATGCACTGAGCGGTACATATCAGTGCAACACTTGTCGCATACTGAAGCTCAGAAGAGGAGCGACAACGCACTTGAGAAGAGCCCTATGGTTCAGGATCCAAGTCCCCAGCAGGCTCATGGACAGAACTCAAGAGGTCCCCGAAGCATAATGAAGAGGAACCTCGATGTTGCAGCTGCGATTATGGCCATGAGTTGGGTTCGTGCTTGTCGTTATCATCATCACGCTTGTTGCTGTTGTGCTTGTCTACGCATGGTCTTCTATTCCGCTGTCCGCAGCCGCTGTTAAGGACATCGAGGCTTAGCCAGAACTCAAGAAAGCGCAAAACCTAAACTCTAAACCCAAACCTTTAGACAAGCCTCAACTCCAGACTCTATCCCAAGAAGCATGGCAAGTCCCAGTGTTCATGGATCCCCAAAACCAGGAGGCCCCCCTCATGGCCAGGATACTCTTATGGAGTCTTTGGGGATCAGGATCCGAGTTCCTACAGCCCAAGACTCTTCAGCGAAGAACAGACGGGCTTTAGGGTTTTGCACCCCGAGCCCGACACCCCAGACCCAACGCTCTCAACCCCGAGCCCACCCAAGCCCTAAACCCTGAACCGTAAGCCTACTGCATTTGAACGCATGGCGCGGCGCGGAGCGCGCTGAAGCTCGCGGCCCCTGCATGCCCGATGCTGCGATTGGAGTATGGCAGATGATAAGGATCCTTGCTTCGGCGTACATTTTAGTAGTATATCTATCTGGGGATTCGAAAGCGCTGTAATTGACTATTCTTGTTCAGTCCTCGGTCCGGGGTTCGGAGTTGCAACTCACAGGCATCATCATCAATAACGATGCTAGCATTTGAGGTCTATATTGAGATAGAGGCATCCGAAAGTTTCATATCGGCGCAGAAATCACCCTAAACCCTAAACCCCTAAACCCTAAACCCTAAACCCCTAAACCCCTAAACCCTAAACCCCAAACCCTAAACCCTAAACCCCTAAACCCCTAAACCCCTAAACCCTTAAACCCTAATTAAACCCTAAACCCCTAAACCCTTAAACCCCTAAACCCTAAACCCCAAACCCTAAACCCTAAACCGAATCGCACACTTTCGCATCAATGTTAGTCCGAAGTCTGCCGCGGGGGTTACCAGGCTCAGGCTGTCAGATCTCGGCTCCTTCAAGGAGATTTATGAGGGTTCCACAGGGTTCCCTGTTATATGTATATACTAAATAAATAAATACAATATATATATATATATATATATATATGGTACGGCTTGCTGGGTTTCCTTCCCCAACACTGGACCTTGAACCGCTTCAGCTCTAAAGATTACGTTGAAGACGAGGAAAAACCCTACACCCCCGTTACAAAACCCTTCGACTAACCTCACGGCCCTAAACCCTAAACCCTTATAGAACCCTGGCCCTACCAAAGCCGTTGTAGAACCCTTACAGAGCCTGTGTGAACTGCTGAACCATGAAGCTGCTTTCTCCGAGGCTGAGTGGGTTTCTGCATTGGATAGAAGATTCGGGGTGGAAGGGTCCGGATTTCGATGATTTCTGCGCTACTTTACTGATTTGTTTTAAGCGTGTGGGCCCAAGTTTCAGACCCCAACAGCCAGGACCCTAAACCATGGTTTGTCATCTCCATCTGGATTCAGGGTTGCTGGCCTCATAAAACAGCGAGTATGCTGCAAGCGCCCAACCTGAAGCCATACATCTCAAACCCCAAGCCCGAAGCATTGCTATAGGAGCCTACATAATTACCAATACTACTTTGCGGGTTCTTTATTATAATCATAGTATATCAGGCCCCAAAACCCTATTCTACTAATTAAGGCCCCTGCATTAGACATCACGCCGACTTCGCAGGAGGCACTTGCGCCTGCCAATCCCCGTCTCCTGCAGTCCTTCGTGGTGCTCAACGCCCGTGGCACGCGAATTGTACCCTGCCTCTGCTCAGCCCTGCTGAAATCACGAGGAATAATATGTATTTGCTTGAAGGTCACCCGTACTATTCTTTGGGGTTCCGTGATATAGCACCAGTATAAAGTACAGCAAAACCCAAGTTCCAATCCCCTAGATGACCTTTCTTGTCCCAACAAGTAAGCTTCAGACCAACTGTATCCATACTGCTCGTACGGCATGAAGACTAGGTGGCGACCCCAGCAACAGCGCCGACCTCGTGCCCTACCAATCTCTTTCTTCGGGACCCTCGGGTTGCCATAAACATCGGAATGGTTAGTCGCAGTTTGACTCTTTACCTATACTCTCCATTGCAGTTCCTTTTTTTGGTTTAACCAAGGATATAATTAGGATCCTATAAGGTAGCCCCCGAAAGGAACTACAATGGAGACTATAGGTATAGTTGAAGGGTAATAGAGCTCAAGGTTTAGCACAATTGCGGAGGCCCCTCCAGCCATGGTTCGGGTCGAAGAATTTGTCTCATCCAAGTGACTTAGGGTTTGAGGTCCAGGGCCAAGGAACTAGGGAAGGAGGTCGAGAGACCGTGGCATTCGACATTTTGCTGCCCCGATCTCCGTGGGCGAGATTATAGAACCAGCCTGCCGGAACTTGTGACTTTGCAATCTTTTCGCAGGCCACCACATCACTCTGAGCACAACACCACAAGATGGGAGACCCCTTCAAGAAAAGTGAGCTTAATCGGAAGAGCCTTCTGTGCTGGGAGCGCTTGCCCCCTGATAGTCGACCGACGACAGCAGTGTGATCGGAAATCGAATTCTTGTTGCTGCTGCCATTGCCGAGTTTCAGAACATCAAGAGTCCTGGAGAATAGGGAGGAACCGCTAAACTTGAAATTCCGAAGCTCGATGCCCTATTGTGTGGACCCCTTCAGAAAGCGCCGGGGACCTGATCTCCAAAAAGCCTGAAGCCTTGAAGCCTAAATGGGAGTTTCCGAAAATTAGGGGTACCATATTTTGGGCTCTTTATAATAAGGATAAGACTACTTAGGGTACTACATCAGGGTCCCCTGTTTTCGGAAACCCCCAAAACCCAAAACCGAGCTCTGAACCCTAAACCCTAAACTCAAAGCCCTTATAGATCCCTCGAAAGGAATCCTTCAAACCCCCTTAAAGAACCTTGAGCCCTAGACCACGACGGCCGCCACGCTGGGGCGCCTGGCTCTCCCTGGCACTTTCTTCGGCTCCTTCGATTGGGGCTCGCAGGTCCGTGGTTTGGGATGGTAGGGTTTAGGGTTTCGGGGGTTCGGGGGTTCGGGGGTTCGGGGGTTCGGGGAGTTTCGGGATTAGGGATGTAGAGTTGGGAGTTCGGGTGTTTAGGTCTTTCGGGCTTGCTTCTTGGTGTATCTTGTAGTGTTTTTTTTTCAGCGGGTTCGGTGTTATTCTTTACGGTTTGTTCATTGGGGATCGTTTTTGTTTGACGGTTTCGCGTTTCGGAGCCCTGGGGTTTCGAGTGCAGTTCGTTATAGTCGGTTAGAGTTTGGATTTGTGGAGTAGGGGGTTTAGGATGCATGTTGTGCACTTGGGTCTTTTCTGGGCTTTGAGGTTTTGGGGTTCAAGAGTTCTTTTTGGATATTTAACATGCGGGGTTTATGCGGATTTAGGGTTCAATCCTTTAAAGCTTGGTGGCTTAGCTGGATTCAGGGTTTACAGTGAGGACCAAAAAATAGGAGGTGTCAGGTTGGAGTTTCGGGGGTTTCTACGGCATCGGAAACCCTGAACCCTAAACCCCTGAAGCCCCGAAGCCTTCCGAAACCCAAAACGCCTGAACCCCACAGCAGTGTATTTGTTGTTGGCTTCGGTCCCAAATCCGAGGCAGAGCGATGATGGCCGTACCGCAGCAACACCAGCAACAGCAACAATGACAATGATGATGAGCATCGGGACAACTAGGATAGCAATCCTCTTGGACAGTCACAGTACGCACAACCGAAGCAACAACTACTGTACCAGGGGTGCAGCCACTAAGGGTAGCAGCTAGCAGCTAGCAACATTAGGCATTATAAGCCCAACCCCCTACAAACCTAATCCATACCATACACCCGGCACCGCGTAGATAAATAGAAAGAAGCCAAGTGCTCAGAAACAGCGTAGTCAAACTCCGCCACACCACGAACACGCCCTAAAACCCTAAACCCTGAGCAGTTCAGAGAAGAGGCGCTTAACAAAGCAACCTCAACTTGCCCCCTAAACCCTAAGCCCTAAACCCTAATTAAACCTTAAACCCCAATTAAATCGCGGTGCTGTGGACAGGAGCCCGAGGAGATCTTTCTGGATCACGATCCCGCTGCCGTGGCCGCAGTGCTGACGGCCTCCCGGCGAAGCTGGAGTTTGCCAAAATTAAGTCAGGGACCCAAACATCGTTAGTATAATATGACGATCATGACACTTTTTGATGAATGTGGTTGTTGTGATTATTGTGACGATTATGATATCACTTGCTGAGAACAGTTCACCAATAAATTGACGAGGTCTTGTTTCATATTGCTGATTGTTGTCCTTGTTGATGAAACGATTTTTTCAAATACGGCTATAGTAGATATTCATATAACTCTCCCGCTCTCTCTCTCTCTCTCTCTCTATCTCTCTGTCTGTATCTCTGATTTTGCACCCGTGCAAAGCCCTCTGCAGCTGCAACTTGCTGATGACATGGTGAAAGCTTCGCTTCCGCCCGCCCATGCGGTAGATAGTAGTAGCGGTAGTTCTGAGGCATAAGTTGGCACTAGTTGGCATCTGACACCAGTTGGCATTCGTTGGCGTCTAATACCAGATTACCGTTGGCATCGCACGCGGTTCAGTCGTGGTTGTGCAAAGCATGTGTGGTGCCTTTCATCCTGGCCGAGCGTCAGCATCGACCCAGTTCGATCGGCAAACTTGAACCTTTTGGGATGTGTAGCCCGACATCGAATCCGAGTGGTTCCGATCAGCTTTTGAAGTAATGGGGCATCATTCAGTGTTGTAACCTGCCAGATTTCGGTTTTGCTGGCAAAGTGCCAGAACAGCCGGGAATCGATGAACTTTACCGATGCTATCTTTACCAGTACTCATCTAGACCCGAAGCTGTCGGATCCTTTTTGCAAGGACCCCCAGATAAGGTGCTCCAGATTCTAAGTTAAGTGTTGCGTGGGAAGCCAGGACGGAGTTTAGCAAACGGGGTTTGAGTAGGGCTTACTTAGGGTCCCCCAAAATCGGATCATGTTAGCGACCCCCTAAACCCTAAACCCTCAAAACCCTAGAATCTATAAGCCCTAAACCTCTACAATCTCAAGCTCCCTTCCAATGAGTGTCAGTGTCAGGGGCATCGGGCTTGGCGTTAGGGTTAGGGTTTGGGTTTGCAGCAGAAACAAAGAGAAACATACAATAGCAACCCTACGAACGACAGCCGAAGCGTTTATCTCGGTCGATGTAGTTCCATATCATGAGCGTTGCCGGCAGCTATGCAATCAGATAGCCGGACAACAGTTGCAATGATATAGTGCTGCGACCACAGCAGAACAACAGGCCTGAACTGCTACCTTTGACGTAACACGAACCATCGTCGTCGTCGCATCATCACATGTCCCGGAAGCTTTCAAGCCCTAGTAAGGACGATGTGGAAGTTGTGCTCGATAGGGCGCCGGGTTACTTTCCGTTCATACAACTGCTACGAAAGCTAAGTATTGGTATGATTTCGAGAAAAACCAGGGTTGTTGCGAGTCATGGAAACTAATTCATTTTTCCAAGATGTTTGCTAGTCTCATGCTCGCAGGGACGGAGCAGAATCTACTCCATCATCGTAATGGCCAACACCATGTTCTTGTGAATTATGTTGTGCAAAGAGGGGAAAATGCCAGACATTCCAGTGTGTCGGCCATGCTAGCGCATTGATGAACGCTTGTGCCAGTGCGCCTTGTGCCAGATGTGTCGAGCATCCTTCTGCAGCATGTTGTAAACATACAGCGGCGAAACACGTAAATACCTGTGTTTCGGGCATGCTTACACAAGGCATCAACGCTTGTGACAGCGCATCTGGTTCCACAAACGTCGCACATCCTTCTGCAGTGTGTTGTCTAAACTGGCAACAAGCGTAGTAGACAGCAGTGTTTTGCACATGGTCGCCGTGAGAAGGGACGTCATTATCTCCCCCCTCCCCCCTCACCACACTCCAATGTAATCATCCGTCATGTCTTGATCATGCAAGAAAACCAGGAAAGCGCCCCAGCTAAGGAAGGACCCTCAAGTCAGCAGTTTCGGGTTTTAGGGTTTGGAGCCTAGGAGCCCACCATTCGCCAGAGTTAGCGAGGCCTTCGCGAATGTCCGCTTCGGCACACCGGAGGCCCTGGGTGCAATACGCCATGCGGCGGCCCAGATTGCGCCCTCTGGCTTTGTTGGCTTTGGGCTTGGGGTTCCTGGTGTGCTCTTTGGGTTCGCAGCTCCACTCCCAGCTGCCCATCATCATAGTAACCCACTCCCGACAGGGACATTACAACAAGGACATCGAAATATGCACTAAGTCACTAAGTTGGAGCAGCCTTTTTCCAGCCTGTTTCACCGAAAGTGTTGGATCGAGGTAGTCGAAGCAACACAGCTTATTTCTCAAGAGTCCTGGCTTTTGGAAGGAGACTTAGGGTTTAAGGAGACTTCGGGTTTAAGGAGACTTCGGGTTTAAGGAGACTTGGGGTTTGGGTTTCGGGTCGAGCATAGCGAGGTTTGCTTGGGCAAAGAGTGGCGGAGAGTTTCTTGTCGCCTTGGTAGTAGAGACAGTACTCCGTGCTCTCCGCGCCTGAATGTTATGCATACTCGCAGTGTCATCGTTATTCTTGAGGATGTCATGGATCAGCGAACTGTGCTAGAAGGCACTTTGCGGGGACTACTATACTGCCAGTGCTGTTCCTTTTCGGGAGTAATGCCCTGCACGACAAGATAACATAAGAGCCTGGGTCATCCACAACTTGGCCTGGAGATTTTGACACTACAGCCATGTAGGAAACGGCACAAAGGACTTCTAACGCAAAGTATTGAAGTCCGTGTATGGAGCCAATCGCACTACAAACAACCCTTCCACGTGGGACGCCTTCCAGGGCCGTGCAAATGGTTTTAGAAGGCACGGGCCCCATATGTAGCACATATTACTCTTTCATGTCTTAACTCGGGGACGACCCCCTAAACCCAAAGTCCTAACCCAAAGTCCTAACCCTAAGCCCGACACCCCTAAACCCCTAAACTCCTAAAACCCACAAACTCCTAAACTCCTAAATCCTAAACCCTAGCCCCAGAGATCGCGCCACTACATCTAAAACAGACCTAACCCCTAAACCCTCAACCCAAGCAGGCATCCCGAATTCCCGAAGCTCCCCCCAGCTCACCCGAGGCCCGCCTTGCGCCCTCTCCTACACTTTCTGGGGCTGGACGTCACCTCAGTCAGGGCGTTGGGTTTGGGGTTTGGGGTTTAGGGTTTAGGGTTTAGGGTTTAGGGTTTGGGGTTTAGGGTTTAGGGTTTGGGGTTTAGGGTTTAGGGTTTGGGGTTTGGGGTTTGGTGTTTAGGTTTCATGGTTCAGGGTGCAGGGTTTAAGGTTGAGAGCACTTTGAGGCATTGGCGTTGTTTTGGTTCTTTGAAAGCAGCGACTGTTTTTTCCTCCGCTGTGGTTGTCTCTTGTCTCTGGTCACGTACCATCACAAGGTTGGTTGGGATTCAGGGTTGCAGGTTTTCGGTGTGGAGCTTGAAGGTTTCATGCTTCGGGTTTTTGATTGGGGTCTAGGGCTAAACCCCCTTCCCTGCCTGGTATTGATGACTATACGATCCGAGAACTGAGACCCTCAAATGCAAGCAAGGGTTTTCAGCAGGCCTTGGCAAACCTGTCTCATCGGAGGTGCCACTGTGAAGCAGCAGCTTCGGATTCCTCCATGCAGAAACCAGCCTGACGGACCTGAGAGTCCACCCCCCTTTCCAAGAGCAAGATGCCCCCAAAGCCAACAGTTCGAAGACTTCGCTGAACTGTGAAACGCACAAGCATCGAACATACGCCTTTACACACTCGGATCCTTGTACCAAAACCCTAAACCCTGAGCCCTAAACCCTCGTGGCCCTAAACCCTAAAGCCGCTTAAAATGCTACAACAGCCTTGGAGTGAGAGCGCGGAGGAGTGGCTGTGCGGCCTGCACTTTGCATCGAGCTCCCTGGCAGCCTTGGGCCTGGTGTTTTAAAGGGGTTCTTAAAGTTTAGGGTTTAGAGTTTGAGGTTTAGGGTTTAGGGGTTTAGGGTTTAGGGTTTAAAATTTGGGGTTTAGTTTGTAGGAGTTTAGGGGTTTCGGGTTTAGGGGTTTAGGGGTTTAGGGTTTAAAATTTGGGGTTTAGGGTTTGAGGTTGGGGGTGCCGGGTTTTATGGTCTAGTGCTTTTTGGGCACTCCGGGGCTTTGGATGGCTTTGGTTTTGGCGTTTTCGGGGTTGGGGTTATTCTACACATATATGTATATACAGATCGATTTCGGAATAAATCAATCCGTTTGAAATATGGAATTTATGATTTCGGATTTTTTACAGAATGAATCGCTCTGGCCAGTCGGATCTCGGAAAGCCGCAGAAGCTTTGCAAGAGTTTCGGGCTCAGGATGCGGAGTTGGCGTTTGCTTGGCTCCTTTGGTCGCCAGATACTCTACACAGCCGAGGTGAAAGTCCGAACCCGCAAAACAAGCGAGCACTCATTTCTAGAACCCTAATCCCGAAACCCCAAGCCCCTAAGCCCCTAAACCCTAAACCCTAAACCCTTAAACCGTAAACCCTAAACTCAATACTGGAACTGCTTTGGGTGGAAGGCTTCGACGACAGCCGCGCGTGCAGTGCAAGGTGCAAGGCGAGAGTTCTTATGAGGTTGTGAAGTATCATTGTTTAGGGTTTAGGGTTTTATACTAGGGGTCCTTAACAATCAGAATAGGGTCTTGAGGCTTCTTATACCTTCATTCAAGAGGGACCTGAGTCGTTGGGAAAGGCGCCTTGCGGTACGCCATCGTATGTTCATGCGGGGAGAACAAGGGGGGATATTGAATGCCAGTGTCTGCAATCGACCCGGAGCTTGTTGAAGTCTCTCATATTTGAGCTTGGGTAAGTAGTCCTACAATGCCCTCATGGTCCCCGCATACAGTTTTGCTCCAACAGTCATTCCTAGTCTCGATGCTCGGAGTCTCTTACTTCTTTCTGAAGCTATATGACCAGGCTTCGCGGGTCTAGGGCTGGGTTTCGTTTTGCTTATTGGGGAGGGTGGAGCAAGGTTGGGGTTTCAGGGGTTCGGGTTTGAGTCAGGGCTTTGGGGTTTTCGGTTCATATGGGCCGTGGCGCCCAACTTTGGCGGGTGCAATATGGATTCTAGAGGCCTGAGGGCCAAACCAGGGCAATCACCTGCCTTTTAAACTCAGTGTTCGAGGCTCTGGCTTTCGTTGCAGTTTTTTTATATCTTTCGTTCTGTGTCCTTTGTCTTCCGAGCGATGGCATGCCTGAACCTCCGTCCACTTAACTCCCGACGGTGTCCTTCGAAATTTCCATCCACTTTTAAAGCTGAACTATGGGTACCCTCACCCCGAGTTTTTCTCAGATCGCAATATTCTGTTTTCCTTGCTGTGCATATGCGGTGACGGACCCGACATGCTGTTCCAATTGTTAAGGCCTCTGTAACCCGAAGACCCTTTTTCCACGGGTTCTAATTATTAGAGAGTTGCGTATCCGAAGGGTTTTTCGGGTTGTAGTTTGGCTATGGGTCCTGTACTGCTATCGTATAATATCCCCCAAAATCGTCCCTGTAATGACTAGGGCCCCGGCATTCGGGGCTAAGATGACTAAGGCGAATGCTAAAGACACCCTATCAGGGTTGACGAGTCAGGGTCCCTACACCCTACGCCGTAAACCCCAAATCCTAGACCTAATTTATGCCCTAAACCCTGAAACCCTTAAGCCCAAAACCCGGAAATCCTAAACCCCTGAACCCTAAACCCTAAACCCCTAAACCCCTGAAGCCCTAAACCCTAAACCCCTAAACCCTAAACCCTGAAGCCTTGAACCCCTAACCCCTACACCCCTGAAGCCCTGAAGCCCTAAAACCCCGAAACCCTAAACCCTGAAACCCTGAAACCCCTGAAACCCTGAAACCCCTGAAACCCCTAAACCCCTAAACCCTGAAGCCAGAACCTTAAGCCCCTGAAACCCCTAAACCCCAAACCCCTAAACCCCTAAACCCTAAACCCTGAAGCCAGAACCTTAAACCCTAAACCCTCTTAAATCCCAAGCCCATCGGCCCCCAGCTCGAAGCGACAGCCTCCACCGAAGCAGGAAGACCTCTCGCGCGATGGCTTTGTCTGCTCCATGGATATCTTGCAGCATCTGGCTTCTCGCCGGGATTTCAGGGCTTAGGGTTTAGGATTGCCCCTTGAGGGTTTCGGGTTTAGGGAAGCATCGGGCCGACACAATTACCAACACTCTTTCGGGGGTTCCTTATTATTAACTATAGTAGATTTCAGGCTTTAGACTCTAGGGTTTAGGGTTTAGGATTGCCCCTCAAGCATCCGTAAGCCTGGGATTTCAGGCTTTTGATAAGTGTCTTTGCTGGACAGGGCTTTGCTATCATTGAGGTTTTCATGGTTATGAAGGCTTTTGTAGGGTTTTGCATGGGGGTTTTGGAGCTCGACGTCCATGTTTACGCCGCCAGACCCTCCGAAACGCCTGGCCGGAAGCCTCAACCGGAACCCCCAAAACCCTAAACCACAGTCTTTGTTATTGTCAACATTTCTGTATTTGATTTTCCATTAGTCACTCAGTAGTACACTTATTCCCTGTTTTGCTGGTGCGATGGGGGTTCCTTCTTCACATTGAACACTGGGACATGTGGTACCCTTGCTGCTGGGGAATCGAGCTGATTGCTCCCATATAAAATCGACACATCAAGTCCCTATAGAGCCCTTTACAGACCTATACAACCCAAACAAGCCTAGACGAAAACATGTAACGTCCTGATGAGTAAAACACTGCCAACCCTCGGCGTCTAAAATCGGAACTTTCGGATTTTTGCCTCCTGAGCGACCCGCAACAGTCGAAGAACCAGAGAGGCGACAATTTACCAAACAATCCTGAATCCATCGTAATTTGTAATATTCCTTAGGGTTCCTTGTTACCCAGAGGGTCCATATACACTACTATTATGGAATTAGGTCCCCAAAACCATAATAGGGATGGTCTTTCAGGACCTAATTCCATAATAGTAGTGTATATGGACCCTCTGGGTTATGTCTGACGACGGTTCGTTCGCACGCGAGGTTCACGTCTTTTAGGCCGCAGATGCTGGCGCGCACACGCACACAGACAGTTTCATGCACCTGCAGCCCGCAGTGTTTTCTGCAAGCCGACCCGGACCCCATCCGAGCACCAGAGCATCCATGGGCCAACCCTCATCCGACGAGGAAGCTGTCTTGGTTTCTGCGTGACTGAATGTGGAAAAGATTCTTTTCTTGCCGTTCTCGGGTTTCGCGCTTGGGTTCCTGTGTCTTGTTTGAGACGCCGCTGCTGTTGGGCCTTCCTCGGTCAGACTCGGACGCAGCCTGCGCCAGACATGCAAACGCAGTTGGAGGAGAACGTTGTATTGGTTCTTGCTTGACTCAAGCAGCTTAGTTGCATCGCATTTGAACAAAAGTTCTTGTTCCTTGCCGCCTTCAAACGCGTCTCGGGGTGATGACGCTGTAGCTGAACGCTCCATCGTGCACCACTACTTCTCCTTGGTCTGCACACTTATCCCAGAGGGTCCATATACACTACTATTATTATGGAAATAGATCCCAAAAGACCATCCCTATTCTGGTTTTGGGGACCTAATTCCATAATAGTAGTGTATACGGACCCTCTGGGTATGAAACAGTCTTCCATCCTGCGAGGGCCAGGCTGATCTGACTCGGTCACTGACGTGAATCTTGCGTGCCAAAGCGCCGTCAGCGCGTGATAACTACAATAGTCTGGTAGCTCAGTGTAACGTCCCTTTAGGGGGTTCTGTTAATGAAGGATTCGGAGAAGTGATCCGGGTTTGCGGTTGAGGGTTTAGCCCAGTCTTGAGTTTGAACCCGAGACCTTGACCCGCCGTCGTCACGAAGCCACAAACACCAAAATCTTTACCTTAAACCCGTTAATTGAACCAGCCCCTAAACCCCTGAGACCCCCAAACCCCTAAACCCCAAACCCCTAAACCCTACACCCCTAAACCCCTAAACCCCTGAACCCCCAAACCCCTAGACCCCTTAATTGAACCCCCAAGCCTTCACTGGTTCCGTCGAGGCCGAGGGGGCCGGCAAGAACTCGTGGACGCAGCTGCCCGAGCCCCTTGGGTTAAAGAGGCAAGGGAACCCTAAGCTACATGGGAGTTTCCGAAAGTAGGGGACCCTCATATAGTACCCTAAAGAACAAGTTCCTTATTGTAAGGACCTGAGAATAAAGTACCCCTCATTTTCGGAAACTCTCATATACATAGGAAGTCGTAAGGACCCTCAACAGCTGGATCAATGTACGATCCTTCTGATCCAAAGACGGAGTCCGTAATTGCAGCCGACTTCGGAAACTGGGGCTACGGAGATGGTGGAAGAGGGTTTGGGGAACGTTTGCGGATGTTTCGGGTTCGTGGTCTCAGAGTCGCTTTGGGCTTGGAGCCTCAGTGCGGATGATCTATCGCGTTTGGGGTTTGAACCTTGGGGTCGCGGGTTTGGGGCCACGGGTTTTGTTCGGGGCTGCGGTCGTTTTAGGAGAAATCCAGAGTGAGCGGTAATGTAGAGGTTTAGGCGGTTTCCGGCTTGGGATGTAGCGTTAAGGAGAAATATGGAGGTTGAGGGTTTAAGGTTAACGCCAATGAGTAGAGTGTCACCAGATATTCACACGACCATCTAGCCGGAAACTCTGGTTTAATTATGATGGTCCAGTGACTTACCTTTGGTTAGTAGGGAATGGAAGAGTGGTAGTAATAGTCGTTATGCTTGTTCCCCATTTCTCCATTTCCTACTAACCAAAGGTAAGGTGATGGTCCCTATGCTGAGGCCTATAAAAACTCCTTTCAAACCCTGCGAAGGTTGGGCCTCCTACAGCATTGTGTTCCCAGACCTTCCAAAATCCTTTCATTAAGGAATATACCTTAAACTATCACAGTAATCCGACTTAAGGTATGTCCCTTAATTAAGGGATTTTGCAAAGTCTGGGTTTTTTGTACATGAGGTTCAGGGTTTCGGGGGGTTCAAGGTTTATGGTTTCAGATTTTTTCGGGCTCAGGGTTCAAGGTTTAGTGGGTCGGGTTCAGGGTTTCGGGGGTTCGGGTTTGTGATCCTCCGCCTCGGCTACTAGCATCGCCCAAGACAGGATTCAGGGTTTTGTGTTTAGGGTTAACGGCTCCGATCCCCAGACGTGCCCTTACGTCAGGGATTGCTGGGGGGTACCACAGTTACATAGCATGCGGGCATCAACGTCACAAACGCGCGCAACAGCTACCGAGCACGACTATCCTCACCTCGTCTGGTCATGACGTTAAGCTCATAAGGTACTGGCCAAAAAACATGGCTTGAAATGCTTAAGATCCAATAGGAACCTGCCCTGCAGCATCTTGTGCTTGCAGGATTGCGCTGTTGGATGAGCAGGTCCCTCTCGGGAGTTATTTCGCTCATTAGTGTCAGTGTCCGAAGCCTTTGTAATCTAGGGGGTTTAGGGTTTTAAACCCTTGACTCTGCCCGGATGTCATTTGCACTGCATGTCCTCGTCAGAAATCATGCTCATGACATAGAAGTGGATTCTGCAACCGCGAGTCTTTAACGCGCAAGGACCGAAGGCCACAGTGACAATTTCTCCCCCCGTCGCTAGGCTTCGAACCAGACACGAAAGCTTGCAGGTGGAGCTCTATGGTGTCGGCGACGAAGCATTTCTCTTGGAGCCGCTGGGCCTTGCAGGAGTTGTTGTTATTTTGTGGACGTGGTCGGCAGTGTTGCTCTTCCATGTGTTGCATGTCTACAAGTGTCCACTGTCTACTGCTGTGGCGACGACTTGACTTGTGTTGCTTTGCTATCGCTTGCACTACCCCGCTATTGTGCATCTATCCATGTTGCTATTCCGCCATTCCTGCCCTACTGTAGTCACTACACGCATCTTTCATCGCCAGTTCCATCCCTGTCATCTTCACCTTCGCTGTCATCGTCATCTTCATCATCTGCATCGTCTTCGTCGTCACCATCGCCGTCATCAGCACCACCAGCAAAATCACGGCTGTTGTTGCTGCGGTGGTCATCATACCAGCACTTCGACTTATATGATAGAAAATGGAGGGTCCAAGCCCTAAGCCTCAATCTCGAATCCGGAATCCACGCCTTTGATCCTCAACTTGATATATGGGCCTGAATAGCTCGACTAGGCTTTGGGTGTATTAAAGTACAGTAGGTATGGGTTAGAAGGACTCTTGAACTATAGTAGACAGGGAGGAATACTAGGACTAGGATTGATTTTTCAAAACCTTTGGCCCCAGGCTCATAGCCGCTAGCCAGGGTTTTGGCTCCCTGAGGCAAGGAGGCTTCGTGCCTCTGGGAGAAGCTCGTTGCTGGGACGTCCCTGGAGAAGGCGCTATTTGTTGGCGGTCATTGCGCAGTTTTCGTAGGGTTTCTGATGTGTAGGGTTTGTTTAGGGGCTGTGTGGGGTGTTTATGGTGTTTTCTAGATACCTGGGTAAGTAGAATATTTCTGGGATGCTGTGAACTCTACATAGTAAGGGCTGTAATTGGATGTTGTTGTTGTTGCAAATTAGATTAAGTTTCTGTTTGAAGGGGGGTTCCATTAAGCAGAGGGTTTAGGGCTTAGGACTTTTTGGTTCAGTGTTTTGTGGTTTAGGACACCTCGGGGGGTGATTGCAGGCATTCGGCTATACTCAAGGGCTCAGGGGACCTGTAAGACAGGTTTGTGGGAGCCTAATTGATTTTCAGGGATTGAGGGCCCAGGGAGTTCGGGCATCAAGATCAAGAATGTTTTCATGACATGCTAAGCCCCAGGACCTAAACCCCAAACCCCAAAACCTAACATGGCATGTAGTGAAAATCGCCCCTAGGGTGTTGCATTTGAGCTTTGGGGGTTGCGGCGTTTGGATGCCCAAGTTGTCCTTCTCGATTTTGCGTGCCTTTACCCTGCCTTCTAAGCTCCCTTGGCCCGGCGACCTGCTCTGAAGCTTCTGCTTATCAGGTTCCCAAGCACTCAGTAGGTAAGCTGCAAGTAGAATCGTTACTTAAGCAAATGAAGGCTATCGCCAGGCCATCCAAGCTCAGCTCCTGGGATCTGAAGCACCCGAACAAATACTACGGAGGGTTATCTTATTGGTAAGCTCAAAAATAAGCGGTCTGAACAAATCAGCAGCAGCATCCCTATACAACCGCTATACAACACTATGTATGCCCAAGAGTCGGATTCTGTTTTGTTTTAAGCCTTTGTGTTGCTTATACAGCGAATCCAGAAAGTTGGAACATGGGTTTATTAGGATCTTGTGCTAGGATCCCTTATACCTTACCTCAGGACATGAGCATACTATTCGTTCCAACCTTCTGGCTTCTACTATAACGCATAGGGACCTTTCTTAAATAGGCTTTAATTACGTCCTTATAGTAGGTCTTAAGGCCCCCCACCCCCGTCCCCCCTAGGTCCCTATGAATAACCCGACCCGTCAGGTGACTGCCAGTGGTCCTTTGCGCCTCAGACGCGGATGGTTCTGGACCTGGGACCTTCGCGCGCCGTGTGGCCCACAGGCACGGGGAAGCTCCTGGGGTTTTTAGGGTTTAGGGGTTTAGGGGTGTAGGGCTTTTTGTTGAGGTCTCTTTCCTAGGTACCTTAAGGGAACTGACTTGGAAGTCGCAGGACTTTGCGGAGTGTTGGCTGTGGAGATGGTTGCTGGGCAATTGGTAATGTAGGGGCCTAAATAGGGTTCCTTCAAAGGGTTCTTAAAAAACGCTTATGAGGATTACTATAAAATAAACTTGAGTGTCGAGCGACGAAGTTCTTGACAAGTCTACGCTGTGCTTTGCAGGAATCGGGCAGGTTTTCATGCATTGTGAGCTGCACCGCTGTTGTGCTCGACAAATCTGATGCCAGCAGCAGCCATCAAGCAGGTTCGAAAGCCCTTCTTTGTGCAGATCCTCAAAACCATGCCTTCCACCGCCACCAACGTTGCCATGGCCGGCGTCGGTGCCTTCGCGGCAGCGGGTGCCTTGAGCGGTGCCTTCGTGGCGCCTGCCGGCCAGGTCCAGCACAGCGAGCCCCAGATGCAGAGGACCAACCTCCGCGCCGCTGGCTATGGCTCTTCGCAGGCTGCCGGTGTTGGTACCATGGCTGGCCTCGGTGCCGTGGCCGGCCTGGCCGCAGCGGGCGCGGCTGGCAAGCGTGCCAGCAAGGGACGCACCTCCATGCAGGCCGTGGGCGTCGGCATCAACGGCTTCGGCCGCATCGGCAGGCAGGTGGCCCGCATCGCCATGAAGGACCCGGAGACCGAGCTCAAGCTCATCAATGCCAGCTATGATGCCGACTACCTGGCATACATGATGAAATATGATACTATTCATGGTAAGTATGATGGAACCGTCGAGGTGGATGGCGACTCCCTGGTCATTGACGGCCAGAAGGTGGCTTTGTCCCACACCCGCGACCCTGCTGAGATCCCTTTCGGCGAGCACGGTGCAGAGTACGTCTGCGAGTCCACCGGCGTGTTCCTGACAACCGAGAAGGTGCAGCCCCACTTGAAGGCCGGTGCCAAGAAGGTGATCTTCTCCGCTCCCGCCAAGGATGACTCCCACACCATCGTCATGGGCGTGAACGAGGACACTTACGACCCGTGCATGGAGGCCGTGTCCTGCGCCTCTTGCACTACCAACGGCCTGGCCCCTGCCGTGCGTGTCCTGCAGGAGAAGTTCGGAATCAAGCGCGGCCTGATGACGACTTGCCACGCCATGACCGCCTCTCAGCCCACGGTGGATGGCACCTCCAAGAAGGACTGGCGCGGTGGCCGTGCCGGCCCAGGCAACATCATTCCCAGCTCCACTGGCGCCGCCAAGGCAGTGGCCAAGGTCATTCCGGACGTGAAGGGCAAGCTGACCGGCATGGCTTTGCGCGTGCCGACCATCGATGTGTCCGTGGTCGACCTGACCGTGGAGTTGGAGAAGGAGACCACCTACGAGGAGATCTGCGCCGAGATGAAGAAGCGCTCCGAGGGAGACATGAAGGGCTACCTGGGCTACACGGACGAGGCCCTGGTGTCCACCGATTTCGAGACCAACCCGATCTCTTGCACTTTCGACTCCAAGGCTGGCATCATGCTGGACCCCACCTTCGTCAAGGTGGTGTGCTGGTATGACAACGACTCTGAACCGGTTTAGGAATTTCCGTCGGTATTGTATTTTGTGAGCAAGGAACACTTGTAAGACTTTTTAGACTTCCTCCAATAACAGCTCAGGAGTGGGGCTACAGCTGCCGCGTTGTCGATTTGATCAAGCACATGGCCAAGGAGGATGCCAAGGCATAAGCTGTCCGCTCGAGGCTGCAACTGTTTTACAAATTAGAAGAAATCAAGGTTGATGACATCAACCTCCTCTTGTTCCTCTTGAACTCTCCGAGTTTCTTTTTCCGTTTCGCCGCCGAGCACAAGGGCATGGCCTCGACAAAACAGTTTGGGAAGTCTTTCTGTGTGCAGGATGCATTGTTGAAGAACTAGTTCTGATGCTGGAGAAGTATGCTTCATGTTTGTATTCTCACTTTGGCTATGTATTCTCATGTTGGTAGTCTTGCCTTTTCCACTTCCCCTTTTGTCATCCGCCGAAGCCTAAGCCTTGGGCCTCACAAATAGCTGAACCCTGTTGCTCTCGCAGCAGCCATCAAGCAGGTTCGAAAGCCCTTCGTTGTGCAGATCCTCAAAACCATGCCTTCCACCGCCACCAACGTTGCCATGGCCGGCGTCGGTGCCTTCGCGGCAGCGGGTGCCTTGAGCGGTGCCTTCGTGGCGCCTGCCGGCCAGGTCCAGCACAGCGAGCCCCAGATGCAGAGGACCAACCTCCGCGCCGCTGGCTATGGCTCCTCTCAGGCTGCCGGTGTTGGTGCCATGGCTGGCCTCGGTGCCGTGGCCGGCCTGGCCGCAGCGGGCGTGGCTGGCAAGCGTGCCAGCAAGGGACGCACCTCCATGCAGGCCGTGGGCGTTGGCATCAACGGCTTCGGCCGCATCGGCAGGCAGGTGGCCCGCATCGCCATGAAGGACCCAGAGACCGAGCTCAAGCTCATCAATGCCAGCTATGATGCCGACTACCTGGCATACATGATGAAATATGATACTATTCATGGTAAGTATGATGGAACCGTCGAGGTGGATGGCGACTCCCTGGTCATTGACGGCCAGAAGGTGGCTTTGTCCCACACCCGCGACCCTGCTGAGATCCCTTTCGGCGAGCACGGTGCAGAGTACGTCTGCGAGTCCACCGGCGTGTTCCTGACAACCGAGAAGGTGCAGCCCCACTTGAAGGCCGGTGCCAAGAAGGTGATCTTCTCCGCTCCCGCCAAGGATGACTCCCACACCATCGTCATGGGCGTGAACGAGGACACTTACGACCCGTCCATGGAGGCCGTGTCCTGCGCCTCTTGCACTACCAACGGCCTGGCCCCTGCCGTGCGTGTCCTGCAGGAGAAGTTCGGAATCAAGCGCGGCCTGATGACGACTTGCCACGCCATGACCGCCTCTCAGCCCACGGTGGATGGCACCTCCAAGAAGGACTGGCGCGGTGGCCGTGCCGGCCCAGGCAACATCATTCCCAGCTCCACTGGCGCCGCCAAGGCAGTGGCCAAGGTCATTCCGGACGTGAAGGGCAAGCTGACCGGCATGGCTTTGCGCGTGCCGACCATCGATGTGTCCGTGGTCGACCTGACCGTGGAGTTGGAGAAGGAGACCACCTACGAGGAGATCTGCGCCGAGATGAAGAAGCGCTCCGAGGGAGACATGAAGGGCTACCTGGGCTACACGGACGAGGCCCTGGTGTCCACCGATTTCGAGACCAACCCGATCTCTTGCACTTTCGACTCCAAGGCTGGCATCATGCTGGACCCCACCTTTGTGAAGGTGGTGTGCTGGTATGACAACGATACTACGGCTTCGCTGGAACACTTTCGGTATCGTGTATTCTGAGGAAAGAACATAATGATATAACACAACTGTTAATTTGTATAGGGCCACGAAGTAAAAGCATCTCAGGAGTGGGGCTACAGCTGCCGAGTTGTCGATTTGATCAAGCACATGGCCAAGGAGGATGCCAAGGCATAAGCTGTCCGCTCGAGGCTGCAACTATTTTACAAATTAGAAAAAATCAACGTTGATGAAATCAACCTCCTCTTGTTCCTCTTGAACTCTCCGAGTTTCTTTTTCCGTTTCGCTGCCGAGCACAAGGGCATGGCCTCTAAGAAAACGCGTGCATGGTATCTTAAACTAAGTTTCAACACCCTACATACACGCGCTACAACAGGCTAAGCACCTGCAAGACTCTTGCAAAACACCCTGAAATCCCAGAACCTTGCAACCCCCACAGAACCTAAGCCCGCACAAAACCCTTACAGAACCCGGATAGGTCCCTGAGTCCCTTTTCGGAAGCCGTAAAGGAACCCTTTGCAGGCTTCCAAAGCCCTAAAAGCCCTGAATCCCAAAAGCCTCGAAAAGAAGTCCGTAGCCGTAGCCATGATATAGTACCCCGTTTAGAACCCTTACAGGAACCGGTTTTAAGGTAAGCCTTATGGGTGGTTGTCAAAATTATGGTCCCTTTTCGGGCACCCTAAATATAAGGGGCCGTACTATATCAGGGATCCAAAAAGCAACCGTAATTTTGACAACCACACTTATAGAAGCCGCTGAGGTAAGCCTTTGCAGGTAGCCCGAACCCGAGCCCCGAGACTCCAATAACCCTTAATTAAGGAATATACCTTAAACCATATTAGGGATCCTACCATAACTTAAGGTATCTTAATTAAGGAATATACCTTAAGTTATGGTAGGATCCCTAATATGGTTTAAGGTATATTCCTTAGTTAAGGGATATTGGAGTCTCTGGGAAGTCCCCATGGGTGAGGCCTGAAGATGGCGCTGCTCGTTCCGGATCTCCTGGCTTCGACGGAGCCTTCGGCTCTGTCTTGGGGCCAGGGCTTCAGGGGCTCCAGGGGTTTAGGGTTTTAGGGTTTTTAGGGTTTTTAGGGTTTTAGGGTTTTAGGGTTTAGGGTTTTAGGGTTTTAGGGTTTAGGGTTTAGGGTTTTAGGGTTTTAGGGCTTAGGGTTTAGGGTTTTAGTGTTTTAGGGCTTAGGGTTTTAGGGTTTTTAGGGTTTAGGGTTTAGGGTTTTAGGGTGTTAGGGTTTTAGGGCTTAGGGTTTTAGGGCTTATAGGGTTTGAGGGTATTTAGGGTTTTTAGGGCTTTAGGGCTTTAGGGTGTTAGGGTTTTTAGGGCTTATAGGGTTTTTAGGGTTTTTAGGGCTTTAGGGCTTTAGGGTGTTAGGGTTTTAGGGTTTTTAGGGTTTTTAGGGTTTTTAGGGCTTATAGGGTTTTTAGGGTTTGAGGGTTTTTAGGGTTTTTAGGGCTTTAGGGCTTTAGGGTGTTAGGGTTTTAGGGCTTATAGGGTTTTTAGGGTTTGAGGGTTTTTAGGGTTTTTAGGGCTTTAGGGTTTTTTTTTTTTTTTTTTTTTTTTTTTTTTTTTTTTTCTTGTTTTTTTGTTTTTTTTTATTTAGTTTTTTTTTTGTTTTTTTTTTTTTTTTTTTTTTTAGGGTTTAGGTTTAGGTTTCCAGGGTTTTAGGGTTTTAGGGTTTAGGGTTTAGGGTTTTAGGGTTTTAGGGCTTAGGGTTTAGGGTTTTAGGGTTTTAGGGCTTAGGGTTTAGGGTTTTAGGGTTTTAGGGTTAGGGTTTAGGGTTTTAGGGTTTCAGGGTTTTAGGGTTTTAGGGTTAGGGTTTAGGGTTTTAGGGTTTTAGGGTTTCAGGGTTTTAGGGTTTGGGGGTTAGGGTTTAGGGTTTTAGGGTTTTAGGGTTTTAGGGTTTTAGGGTTTAGGGTTTAGGGCCCAGACTTAGAGTGGATATCGGGTTTAGCCTGTGGGGTTCTGGGGTTCGTGTGCAGGGTGTAGGGCCTAGAGCTTTGGGCTCAGGGCGCAGGTGAGTCTTCTACGAGGGTTTAGGAGGGCTTTGAACAAAAATCCCGTAGGATTCGCCGTAGGAGCTTGATTGCAAGCACCCGTGCTCCGATCTCCCCAAAACAGTAGAGAGATCCGGAGAGATACCTGTCACAACCCTAAACCCTAAACCCTAAACCGTCATCAAATTCTTAAGGATCCTCCCCGGGCCTGAAACTTGCCTGAACCCTAAGACCTAAAGCCGGGTCATACACCCCGAACCCTAAATGGGTGGTTGTCAAAATTATGGTCCCTTTTGGGTCCCTAAACTTAATGCGGCACCTAGTATCTAGGGTACCCCAAAAAACGGCCATAGTTTTGACAACTACCCAAATCTAATGAAACAGAAGCCCTAAACCCTGAACCCTGAGACCCAGCTCCTAAATCCCCGAACCCCGCAGTGAAGCCTGACACTCCGCCGGGCGCCGAGGATGCGTTCAGCCTGGACATTCGTTTGGAAGGAGTTGGCGAATTCCAGGAGCCAGGGAGGGTTCAGGGTTCAGGGTTTATGGTTTAGGGTTCAGGGTTTAGGCTTTGAGGGGGGGTTGTAGCGGTTCGTAGCACTACACATAGCTTTATGAGGGTTGTATAGGGTTTTCGGTAGTTGCATTCTTACTGTGGCTTTATCGGGGTTCTTAGGGTTGCATGGGACCGAAACGCTCAAAAGATCGCGCTCCCTGTTGGTGGTCTTTATGATACGGATCCTGCTGTTGAGGCTGTTAGAGTTCCCCATTGTCGGAAACGCTTATGCTGTGGGGCTTGGGGTTTGGAGTTTGGGGTTTAAGGGTTTGGGGTTATATGATCCTTGTCGTTCATGGTTTTCCACCATTGTGATCCAGACTAGAAGGGGCTTCCGGGGCAGATTCTCAGAGTGAGAGGTGGGTCCAGAGCAGTGCTGCTGATAAGCCCAGCTCAATCGGAGAAGTCTACGCCCGTCGTCGCAGCCCGAAAGGAGAAGTTCACAGAACGACAGCTCGCAATTGTGACCATAACCACCTCGCAAACACCCTCAACCCGAAACCCCTAAACCACTAAACTGTAAGGAAGTGCCGAGACGGTCGTTGCATAATCCAGAGATGGACAACTTGTGGCAGCATTTATCGAGAATGCTCGGTCTTCTTGGGGAGTTATCAAAATTACGGTCCCTTTTTGGGTACCCTAAATGATAGGTGCCGTGTTATATTAGGGACCCAAAAAGGGACCCTAACTTTAACAATCACCCATATATTATAGTACCCTTATAGATCCCGTAAGACCCCTTATAGAACCCCTTCAAAGGAACCCTATTCCAATTATTCCTATAGTTTTCTTCAACAATCACCCTCTTTTTTAACTGATAACACATTTCAGACCACCGTTTCCTGCTTTTATAGCTGCATTTGCTTTGAGGGAAGATGTGTTGCTTGAGTGATGTAGGAGCCTGAATCATGAGTAATTAACATTGCTGTTTGGGGATCATTAAATATCGTTACGATTACCGCGGTAGAATCTACAGAATACTACTGAAAGCTCGAAACTCTATTCTAACTACATGTTTCGGCCGCCTATGCTAGATTGGCTTGTCTCGCAACTGTTATGAGACGCTGTAGACCCGCGTTCGGAATAGCCGGCATTCAACTCCTGCTCTTGCCGGGGTTTGCCTTCAGGGTGTTTGAACAAAGCCTGAAAAAGGAGGGGCCATTTGTCAAACACATCCCCTGCAACATGATCGTTTGAAATCACTGCCGGTGTTCAAGAGCTCGGGCTGAGCCATTTAGGCTTTTGGGTTTAGGGTTTAGGGTTTGCAGCTCAAAGAATCGGATTGCGGTTAGGGGCGAGGGATGAGAGTTCGCGAGATGGGCCGGTCGTGTCTTTTGTCTTGTTCTGGTGTTGAAGATTGAGGACACACGGCCCCCTAACCCCTAAACCCCATAAACCCCGAAGCCCTAAACCTCTTAACCTCTAAACCCCTAGCCATGTGCTTAGACCGTGGTTGCTGCCTCGCAGCAGCCTTCGCAAGCTACACCCCGACCCGGAAACACCAACTGTCTCGACTCTAACACCATACCTTCAGCACTTATGCTTCAGGACATTTCATTAAGACCCAAAACCAGAGCTCTCCAACACCTAACCCTTGAACAAGCCCAACCCTTGTGCCCCAAACCTGCCAAACCCCAGGGCAGTAAGGCTTACCTCCACGTAAACCCCCAAACCAAGCGCAGGAGGCAACGGAGATCCTGGCGTTGGCGGGTGCCCATGGCTGGAACAGTCCAAACTCCACACGCTACAACCAGCTATCATGGCAACAACGTATAACACATAGTATCAACCTTCGCAATACACTAGCAGCAATGATAGCAAGACGAACACACTACAGAGCCATTGGCAGCGATGGCAAATGATGCCTTGCATCCTCAACCCTGCGCCCGATTTCTACACGTTAAGCCTCCACTCCCTTGCCCCCAGCCCTGAACGCCATAAGGCATGTGTTGCATGACATGTTTGCACCTAAGTTTTCCGAATCCGTGGGCGAGAATCCGATGCCTGGTTGCAGATCTTGACCCCTCCAAGTTGCCCTTTTCATTTTAGGGTCCCCGTACTAAAACCGAATAGTAGGAAAAATGGTACCTTCTTTACAAAGGGGCTACTCAGAAACCTAGTAAACATCGGGGCAGTTAACATCGGGACCGAAGGAAAGCTTGTGTTTTCGAGACAGTGTGCTAGAAGAGCAAAATAGGGGTGTTTGACGGGAGCGCATGGGTGTGTCTGACCCAGAGTTTTTTGTGGGCTCTTCGAGATGATCACGAGCAGAGGTCGTGAGAAGAGTACACGCAGTTCGACGCTTTCGGATGTCTTCGGTCATGCCACCTAGACCCTGAAGTTACCAAATCAAAGAGTTCAGGTTGAGACGGTACGAGGGTTTAGGGGTATTTAGGGTCATGGAGCTTAGGACATTATCACCCATTGCCCCCACAATCCAGAAAAACGCTAATCCGAGCTGAAAATGCTATGCAGCCTTATCCTCATCTGCAATAACATAAGATAGAATAGAATGCAGTTAATCAAGATAGAGAATAGAACTAAGTACAATGGTAACATAACCACTAATAAGCATAATCTGCAAAAGTACAACACTATGAATGACAGATCCGACAAGAACATAGTATAAAGAGTACACTTCAATACATCTATCCCCTTAAACCCCAAACCCTGAACCCTAAACCCTTAACCCTACCCTCAGCCGAGGGCAGCCACGCCAGCAGCTTCCTCTGTGACCTGCCAGTGCCCGAAAATCGCCAAAGCGCATTTCGCATGCTGCGCCTGAGCGCGACGCTGCAGGAGCGTCTTTAGGTCTTAGGGGTTTTGGGGTTTAGGGTTTAGGGTCTTGGGAATCTAGAAGGGTCTGGAGGGCTTTTAGGGAGTTTAAGGAGTTTCGGGTTGCGGGCGTGTAGGGCTTAGGAAGTTTAGGGCTTAGGGTGTAGGGAGGCCTTCTTTGCAGAGACCGTGGCCCCGAACTGTAATTCTCCACCCTAAATCTCGTAAGCGCTCGCATGAATGACTGCATGAGCCCTGAACAAGTTTGTTCCCCTGCAAGCACGCGGAATATTCTAATCAGGAGCATTCGGCCCTCTCGGAAGGGGTCACGGTGACGCGCCCGGAGCTGGCTATTTCCGCCACGGAGGGTGTCATCGCCAACCTCAGCAAGCCCTGCAACCCTAGAACCTTTTAGGGTTTAGGGTTTAGGGTTTAGGGTTGTGCCAACATCACAGTGTGGCGCAAGGAAATTGCAAATTGGATGGCCGACCAGCAGGTAGACGTCTTTCTGTTGCAGGAAACGCATTTAGTGCGAGCAACTCGCAAAAATGCCGTCGGGATACGTGGGTTCCAATCCTTCCAACTTCCGGCAATTGCCACCGGTAAAGGTTACGGTACGCTGAGGCCAGCAAGGTACTACTCTGCCATAAATGGCCCAAAGGCCCGAAATCTTCAAAAGTCCCAAAAATCCGACCCCTGCACCCTCCAACCGTCCGAGCCACCACGAACAGCTTGAGCCGACTTTGCAGGCGCCCAAAGCAACCATGTTTTGAATGTGAGAAGGAGGTCCACAGGCCAATGCCCTTGTAGTCCCTATATCATTCTACTCTAGCGGACTCTAGCGTACCCCCTGAAGCCCCATTCTATATCGCGCCCTAAAACCCACAAAGCTCTGATAAGACTTTGCAGAACCCTGCTCCAGTTCTATCTTCATGTCTTGGGTTGTCCAAAGCCCCTCAGCCACCCCAAACCATAAACCCTAAACCTTATAACCTTAAACCCTAAACCTCAGACCCTAAACCCTAAATCCGCAACCCAAAAAACATACACAGGACCGGCGCGTGGGCTGCCTCTCGCTGCAGATCTACGGCCGCCCAGCTCTGGCTTGCTTGGAGGGTTTCGAGATTGGGGTTTAGGGTTTCTTAGGGTTTAGGGCATAGGTCTCAGTAGGGTTTAGGGTTTATATAGGGCTTAGGCTTTATTGAGGTTTAGGGTTTAGGATTTACTAGGGCTTAGGGCTTAGGTCTCATTAGGGTTTAGGGTCTAGGGCTTAGGCTTTATTAGGGTTTAGGGTTTATTCGGGTTTGGGGTTTATTAGGGTTTAGGGCCTAGGGTTTAGAGGAGGATCAGGGCCGCGAAGGAGTGTTCGTAAGCAAGGGATCTGTGTTTGTAAGGAAGGGGTTGAGAAGGCTGCAAGAAGTACATAAAGCATCAGGGGACTTGGTGAGTGGGGTTGGAAGTACCTGAACCTGGGGCATAAGTACTTCTCACTATGGTTGTTTTCTATAAGCCTACTTGCGAGTTCGGAGCTTCAGTTTTTGCACTCCCCCTAAATGAGACAACGATTCGGCAATTATCGTCCTGAAAAAAGCATACTCCGGTGTAGTACCTTCCTTCACATAGCAACCCATAAGAGCAGAGACGATTGATACAGAGAGGGGTTCGGAAGGTGAAGAGTGTAGTCTGTACCCACATAACCATAAGGCCTAAACCCCCAGAGCCTGAACCCTAATCCTCTCAACCCTGCACCCCCAACGTTTCAAAGGCGATCTTTTCCAGAACCTCCCGCTGGAGTTGCGTGCCTTCCCGCGTGACCGGGCACGGTACACCCTGTCACTCAATTCTTGTCTTCAATCGTGATGCTTTACGGTTTAGGGTTTAAGGTTCTCTGTCATCCCCATGCACGTGTTGTATACCACCTCCCCAGTACTACCCTTTAACCTTTGGTTCCGGCGGTTCCTCATTCAAACTGAATGGCAGGATGCAGGGCTATACTTCTGATGAAGGGGACGCTGGGTAACTTAGCTTACGAGGGCTCTTTCCATATTAGGGCTGCTTCAGTTTGACAGCAGTTTAATGGTGAACTCACCGGGCGGCAACCAAACCCCTAAACCCTAAACCCTAAACCCTAAACCCTACACCCTAAACCCAAACCCCAAACCCCAAAACCCTAAACCCTAACCCTAACCCCTAAACCCTAACCCCTAAACTTCCAAACCCTAAACCTTAAACCCTAAAATTCCAAACTCTAAGCCGATCCAGGGTTTTCTGGGATCCCCGGAGAGACTTTTGTGCAACTCGGAGAGGGGAGTTTCCGAAAATAGGAGACCCTAATATAGCACCCTAAATAGTAGGATCCTTATTATAAGGACCCCAAAGCCCTAATATAGCACCCTAAATAGTAGGATCCTTATTATAAGGACCCCCAACTGAGGTCTCCCTAATTTTCGGAAACTCCCAGAGGGAGCTGCAGGGGCCCTTGAGGGGTGTAAAGGGAACTCCAGAAAGTTGGAATATGGTTTCAGGGTACCCAGAGACTCCAATACCCCTTAAGGAATACTCCAGAAATCATATTAGGGCTCCTATTATAATTTAAGGTATATTCCTTAATTAAGGGGTTTTGGAGTCTCTGGGTAGGATACCTTATAATTGACCATAAAGGGCTTAGGATAATCATATTCCAACATTCTGGCTTTTACTTTAGGGCTTCCTTAACGGGTTAGTTTAGGGGTTTAGTATGCCTTAACCTACCAGGACCTACTTTTTTTGTAGGGTCCCTAGAAATCCCATATTAGGGTTTATAATAAGCGCAAAAAGTAGGGTTCAGCAGGTCTAGGAAGGGGCCTTAGTTTGAATAGGGTCTACTCACTCCTTAGTAATTTAGGGCTTCTTGGGGTCGCCAGGCCTCTCTCGCGGCTTTGTGAGGATTAAAGAAAGCAAGGGCTCTACTTACAGGCTTGAGGCCCGCACCCCGGGCGGCTGAAGGGCTTGTGTAGGGTTTGGTTTCAGGTTTGGGCTGACTTTACATCGGGCCCGGGGTTCGGGGGCATAGGTTCTTGTGTTGAAAGGTCTGCGGGGTATGCCCTCGACGCTGAAGCCTGAGGTCTACCGTTTAGGGTCTAGGAAGGGAGGGTTTAGGCGCCTTTGGGTGGGGGAGGAATCCTAAAGTCATCACTGTCAGGTTCGAGGCGTTCGACCTTTGTCGGTCTTGTGAGCTTTGCTTTTCCAACCTCAAACTCTTAACCCTAAGCCCTAAACCCTAAACCCTACACCCCTTAGCCCTAAGCCCTAAATCCTCAGGCTTAAACCCTCAGCCCGAAGCCCTGCGCAGAGAGGACAACTTCGCTTTTACGGCGGAGTACAGCAAGTACGAGCGCGTCGGCAAAGGGAAGACCCCTTACCATGGACTCCCCCTCAGCAGGGTCTGAACCGTAAGTTTAGGGTTTAGGGGGGGTTAGGGATCAACGGTTCGAGTCCAAAGGTCCTGAGCGCTATGAGCCCAAGACCCGCAGTCGTTGGCATGCTATACGCTGAGGTAGCAAGGGGCTTCAGAATTAGTAGGCACAGAAAAGCAGGCTGGATCAGGATGGTTTAAAGGGTCGTCGACGGGTTTCAAGGGCTTTAGAGTGCGTTATTCGTGTTTCATTATGAAGAGGTCATGCTGTTTGATGAGTCTCAATGGGGTTTGTCCGGGAGTTTAGGGGGGAAAACTAGTCATGGCTATCCGTAGGCTGCCAAATGTATCCTTTGTATGGGAATCCACCAAGAACCTTGCTCTGATTGAGGGTTTGCCCTAAACCCTAAACCCTAAACCCGGGAACTGCCTGAAATCTGGACCATAGGTAGCGTCCAAAACTCGAGGTTCTGTTTCGGGAGTTGAGGCTTAGATTATTGGGATGAGGACTGGGACCCTAGTATAGTACCCTAAATAGTAGGATCCTTATTCTGAGACCCCCAAAATACGGACCCCTAATGTTGGGAAACTCCGGAATGGATACAATGATACTACGCGCATGATTCTCTTCTTGTCGCTGTCAGGCTGTTGACCGTAGACCACATGCCCCAAAGCGGAAACCCTAAACCCAAAAGACAAAACTCCCAAGACCCCTAAGCCCCCAGGCAGTCGAGAAGACCGCGAAACTCCGCTTAAAGAGAGTTCCCACACACAGACTCGACGCTACTTAGCAAGCCCCGTTTATGTAGTGCCACCGGAGGCAGCGCCGGCTTCTACCAGGAGTGGATCTAGGCCTAGCCCGCTCACGGGTTCAGGGCGTTAGGATGTGCTAGGGAATCTGAGGGTTTATGTGTTGAGAGTCTAGGCTTTACGCTTTCGGGCCTTCCGGGTTTAAGGTTTTTTTAGCGTTTTGGCGTTCGAAGAGGAAGTTTGGCTTGTATATTTCTTTGTTTCAGGTTCGAGCCCCAAAATAGTTGAAAGAGGGTCTTGGGGCTGTTCTACTACACCTTTGTTTAGTCAGGAACCGTCCCAATAGGTAATGTTGGGGCGGCAGTCCCTTGGTTTCCTAAAACTTTATAGCATAAAGACCTCCAAATCCTTAATCTAGTTTCCAGACCTTCGCAGATATCGTTTGTTAAAGAGGTACGTAAATGAATAGTACATGAAGACATTGCGAAAACATGAAGGAGTAGACACAGCGGCAAACCAACAAATTCATAAGTATATGATGTTACCTACAAACATACATACATATTTACGTATATGTATACATATGTATATATGACTGTATATTTCTTTGTTTAGCTATACACTATATACATATATACACACATACATGTAAACGTACAACGCATGGGGTGACAAGTCTAGGGTATATCTCATGTTTTGAAGCTCCAGGCTGATCTAACTACCCTAAGCCCTGAACAAGGTATTTGTACTGTAAGCCCCGAACCCGCGACTCCGAGTAATACAGGGAATATAGGGGTCTCAGCAATTACCTAGACTACTTTGGGTGTAGAGCCCCATTATAACTGTTAAGGCGCCTTTATTAAACTCATATTTGTTAAGGCGCCTATGTCAAACTTCAGGCCCCAAGCGCTTGTCCAAACGGCGCCCTACCCCCTGAAGCAAGAGTGCACCCCAAGACTTGCGAGGCCCTACTTTGAGGATCATGGGACTTAGTAAGTAAGGTTATAAGTACCTTAATTGGGGGTTATAAGTAGTGATAAGTATAGTTACCTTACTTGTAACCTAAGTTACTAAGTCCCATGATCCTTTAAGTAAGCCCTGCAATGGCAGCTCGAACCCGAACCCTAATTTCGAAACACCCCCAAGCCCTGAAACCCTCAACCCCAACTGCTCGACACCCTGACACACTAAACCCTAATCATCCTCGTCTTCCATCTGATGCTTTTCAGCAGGTTGGCGAAGACTTTTGAATTTTGAAGTGAGGCTTTTCGCGGCAGCTTCTAGGCGCACGCTTTTCGGATTTGTGCAGAATGGCCAGAAACTCTAGGCCCGAAAGCCGCAAAGCCCAAAACCCCAACCCAAGGCCACCCTAAGGCCTAAACTTTGGTCTGTTCAGATGAGGGGGGTGAGTTTCATAGCAGCTCTTCAAGCACATCTTGTGAGCTCGCCCCGTCGCTGCCACGTTCCGAAAAGAAGCCGCTTTCTGGCGGCCAGGGTTTTCGTGGCTTCACTGCAGTGTAGGGTGCCACAGGGGGTTTGGGGTAACATGAGGGTGCAGAGTTTGGGGTGGAGCTCCAGGCATGTTTATGACTTGTGCTGGGTACATACAGGTGTCGACTTAGTTGGTAGGAAAATTCCATGGTAGCCCCCCAAGGGCTTTACAAAACAACACCGAGACCTTGCTCTAACTATTCAGACTCTGATGTTCTGTATCCAGGCATCGTAAAGGTTTGAAGCATTGCAGGGGTTCAAGCAGTTCCTAGAATACACCATGAAGCACAATGCCATACCACAATACTTACCATTGTATTCTATGATATACTGTTTTGTTTTACTCTCATAGCCTCGTGTTCCCAAATCGGATTTGCCGTCGGGCGCCCTTGCGCCGGACGCCCCGAGCAACCTTTTTCAGTTGAGGAGTACAAGCATGTTGGCTACTGAAGAAAGACTTCAATACGAAACCCTAAACCCTAAAACCCTAACCAGGGCTGTAATTCAACTGAAAAAAGCAGGACCATCTTTTCGATGACTTGAGGCCACTTTCGGGAATCCTGCGAAAACTGGAGTCCAGTCAGACTAAAGCACAGATCTAGGGACCATGAGGAGATGTTTGACTATCTTCAAATAGATGCTTGAAGGATTAGGATGTGGTCGTGGGGTATGTTATGGTATGGTTATTCAGGAACTATTCAGTAGAAGCCAGAAAGTTGGATGAGCTCCTTCGAAAACCCCAAACCCCAGAGCCTGCAGGCCGACCTGCTCTTAGACAGGATGCAGTGCCTATACATAGAGCCCTTAAAGAAACCCTTATGGTGACCCCTTCCGGAACTCCTCAACGCTCAACCCTAAGCCCTAAACTAACCCGAAACCCGACTCGTACCTTAAAAGAACAGTTCTGCAGCTGGGCCAGGAGCAGCCACCGAGGCTCGGGTGAGGGTTTAGGGTCGAGGGTGTGGGGTTTAGGGTTGAGGGTTTAGCGTTGAGGGTTTAGGGTTGAGGGTTGAGGCTTTAGGGTTGAGGGTTTAGGGGTTCAGGGGTTTAGGGAAAGGGATGCGGAAGGGAAAGATGGAATGAAGGGTGCCTTAATAATCCGAATATGGTTCTGTTTAAAGGAGTCTGGAAGAGCAAAGACCTTGTATCAAACAACCCTAACTTTCTTCACAACGACATACGATGCCTTAAGAAGCTTTCACGTCTGAGCCTTAAGCCTTTAACCTCATAGTCCTGAACTGCGGCATGCCGATTCTCGACAACCCCTATGCCACAAAATCCTGAAAGACCGTAACCCTTATAGTAACCCTTATACTCGCCCTAGCAGACAACCCAAAACGAAAGCCTTTTCACACCCTGTGAAACCGCACAAGACCCCCCTGAACTCCAAACTAAACCCGGAACCCTAAAACCCTTACACCCCCAGAAGGAATCCCCACCCTAAACCCTAAACAACCCTAAAATTCCCTGTAGCTTCCCCCCCCCTCACGCCAGCATCGCAGGACGGAGGCGCTCTAGTCCGCCGGAGAGGCCCGAAGAAGTTGAGTTCCCATACGGAATGCTGAGTATCGATTTGGCATAACCTTTACAATTTCCCTTACTGCTTGAATATAGAGCTCGAAAAATAAATGGGGTTTCTTGGAGATCATCCGTTAGGGTTGTTTTCAGGTGCAGCCACGGAATGTTGCTGAAGACGACGAAATCCAACACCCCGAGCTCTAAACGGCAAACCCTAAACCTTGATAAGGCCCGCAACATAACCTAGTAGTCGAGTAGGTAACCTTTAACCTTTTTTGGGGTAGTATAGTCCCTATATAATCCCTATATAACCTGCAGGAAGTGGCCAATGATGTGCTGAAAACGCACCTGGGGGGCAACATTTTTTGGCTGCCAGCTGTGAAGTCCGCGCTGCAACAGATCCTCTCCTGCAAGCACTGCCTCGGCAACGGCCATTACCAACACGACTTGGCGTGCCCTCGTGCTGGCAAGAGCTTTGCTTTCACAAGGCACCCGGTGCACAAACTTTTCATGAACGTGGGAGCCTTCATGCAGCTCGACGGTGCGAAGAAGAGAAAATGCAGTTTGGAGTTTGGCCTGCACTTTGATAGGGCGAAGACAGCTCTGGATGCGAAAGTGCACGGCAACAAGCGGGCAAGACTCTCCCTTATGGCGGAAGAGGAAAAGCTTCAGCGAGCGGAGGCCAAGTCAGAGAATTCAGACTTGTTTACGGCCCTCGAGTCGTCTGCTTTTTTGGGGCAGCTGACTGCAACCTTGGGATGAGCGATGAACTTCAGGATAACCCGACAAGTAGGCCATTGTCCAACCCACAGGCTCCAGATGCCGCAAGCTCTAGACGTTTCCAGCGAACCCCGACAGACGGCTCAAATGGGCCTCAACATGTTTTTCGTAGAAATTCACTATATCCATATGTATATGTATATGTATATGTATAAGTTCCCCCGATAACCCGACAAGTAGGATAAGGGTAGCCTCTGGTCAAACTGTTGATGATTTAAATCCTGCATTACCCAGAATAAGGAATATACCATAATTCCCATAGTTTATGTTTAGGGTCCTTAACTAGGATGCCCAGTAGTACCCTTATTCCCTTTTTGTAGTCCTAGGTTCCTTATAAAGTTACCCAATACCAAAAAGAGAGGCCTTCTTGTTCTTAGGTTACTGGGTATCCTAGATAATTCCCATAGTTTATGTTTAGGGTCCTTAAGGTAATGCAGGATTTATATCATCAACCGAAGCTCTCGGGCTTCAAGCTGAACTGTGTGTACCCTAACCCAGCTGCCAGGCGGCCCTGGACACAACAAAACATCCTAGCATGCACTCTAAAATTTGAACCCAACACCGTCCCTAAACCCTAAACCCTAAACCCTAAAGATGGAAACCCAGCCACGAAAAAAACGTAACTCCTCAAGTCGAGATGCCTTTTAGCCGTGCCTGTGCAGGTCCAACCCTCTGGATCGACGTCCGCAGATCGAACGCGTTAAGGCATTGTCCTAGGGTTTCTAGGGTTTAGGGTTTAGAGTTTAGGGTTTAGGGCCTCCCAAACCGTTGAAGTTACAATCGAAGAATGCAGAAATCGAGATGAAGAATCAGTGGTCAGGTATAATGCAGGCCGGCAAGGTGTGCCATGGTGGTTTTGGTGCATTGGGATGGCATCACAGCTTCAGCACTGCAGTAGAGTGAAGATGCCATAAGGGATCTAGATCATCAGACAAAACCATGGCAATCGCGAGGACCCCAACAATTCGAGTGTCGACCGCTGATTCATCAACCCCTATCCGATAATGAGGGTTGTGTCAGTAGAGCTTTTTAACCCCAAGAGCTCGATATCCCAAGTCCTGAACCCGAGAATCCTTAACTCGTTCGATCCGTTCACAAGACTGCGAAACCTCATACCCACAGAGTTCATGAGACGCTTGGTAGAATCCTATCAGATGCCCTCGCTTGAAAAGGTGCTTATTGCCGGAGCATGCTTCGGGAACTTTGCAGAGGCTTGTGTCCCGAGAGCCCAGCACTGAATCATAGGAAGAAGATACCCCCTCTACCTTTAGGGTTTAAGGTTTCAGGGTTGTTGAAGAACACTTCGTCATGAA